GTTATAATTGCATCGAAAGGTGGTTCTACAAAGTATTGACTCAGGGGGGCTGAATACAAATGCACACCATGCATTTATCATTTTCCTTCCACTTCACAATGAAGTGCCACTTTATGTTGGTCTATCACATAAAATCCCAATAAAATACATTTACGTTTTTGGTTCTAACACAACAAAATGTGGAAAATTTCAAGGGGTATGAATACTTTTGCAGGGCACTGTATAAGGCCCTTATTGCATTTTTACACAGAACTGGAATAAGTACCTGGATCTCTCTTGATATTAGCCCCCTGTAGTCCCTGGTACAGCTAAAAAGAAAGGGCAGCTCTATGCACAAATCGGAACGCTATTCCTTTGCATAGTGCTATCTGTAAACATGCTGACAGAATAAGAAGTTACAGAGATGACCTCATCAATGTTGGTCACAGTCCATTCAGAAACTCTGATTCAGATATATATTTGTCTGCAGTCTAGCCTTCACTAGATAGACTAAGGATAAAATGCAATGTAACCCCCAGACTTTTAAAAACAGCTTACACTTACCTACTACACTGATCCTCGGTGGAAAAGTATATCTGAAAATCATCTGAATTGTCATGAACATAAAGAAAGCAACAACGTTCATCAAACTTTGATATGCTGTAAATATAGACAAGTAACCAGATGTCCATTAATTTAGAAACAAAACAAGTACTGTATTTATTGACATAATACAACTAATCAAAATCAGAGCGAGTACCAATGATTTAACCCTTTCGCTTCCAGAGATGTTTTTGCTTGTTTTTTGCACACGTTTAAAAAATAATTTCAGGCCTGAAGTTTGCACAAACACCCAAAGCATTATATATTTTCTGAAAGCAGACACCCTAGAAAATAAAATAGTGGTAGTTTCAGTAAAAATATACACCAAAGTTAAAGCGATTCTAAAGGTTCATTTTTCTTTTTTGTAAAATAACAAACATGTCTATACTTACCTACTTGGTGCAGTGGTTTTGCACAGAGCAGCCTGGATCTCCCTCTTCTCGGGTCCCCCGCAGGCTCTTCTGGCTCCTCCTGTCTGTCGGGTGCCCCCACAGCAAGCAGTTTGCTATGTGAGCACCTACTGCACCATGTGTACATTCAAACGCGGAGCCACGGCTTGGCCCCACCCCCTCCCTCTCCTCTTGGCTGACTGGCTGTCTCAGCCAATGAGGAGGTAGATACCAGGCTGTCACTCACTCGCTGGATCACGATGAGGCTCAGGTAAGTATTGAGGGGGCTGGGGGGAGCTGCTGCACACAGAAGGCATTTTTACCTTCACGCATAGAATGTATGAAGGTAAAAAACCTTCAGCCTTTACAACTACTTTAATTTTAGGGCACACAATTGCAATATATTTTTGGGGTAAAATATAAAAGATGAGGTTGCACTACATTTTTTTTCCCCGGCCATGCTGGGAGGAGAGTGGATATGTGTCTGCTCAGTTTCCTCCCCCCTACCCAGCGACACCACTTTGCTCTTCCCAGGCCTACAGATGGACAAGCAGAGCACAGGATAAATGGCGGAGGTGTGTATGTGCAGCTCCACTGGACTGCTTTTATTTGACAGCCAGCAATCTGCTTGCCAGATTTACACACCATCTTGGTGGCTGGAGCCACTGGGAGTGTATATAAAACTTCCTGGCAGTGAAAAGGTTAAAAACCTTCCTACTTGCACTTTGTGCTGCATAAGATGTGCACTGATTAACCACTTGACCTCCGGAAACTTTACCTTCCCTTCCTGACCAGGACGTTTTTTGCTATATGGAACTACGTTAATTTAACTGACCATTTCGTGGCCATACAACGCTGTACATAAATTAAATTTATGTCATTTTTCCCCCACAAAAAATGCCTTCTTTTGGTGGTGTTTGATCACAGCTGGGTTTTTTCATTTTTTTGCGCTATAAACAAAAAAGTCTAACAATTTTGAAAAAAAACAAACGATTTTTTACTTTCTGCTATAAAACACATCCAATGAAAAAAATTAAAAAATCTAATTTCTTCATAAATTTAGGCCAATATGTATTCTGCTACCCATTTTTGGTTAAAAAAATCCCAATAGGCGTATATTGATTGATTTGTACAAAAGTTATAGTGTCAACAAACTATGTTATGTATACTGGAATTTTTATTTATTTATTTTTTATACTAGTAATGGCAGCGACTTATAGCAAGACTGTGATACTGTGGTGGACAATCTGACACTATATGACATTTTGTGTGAACCAGTGACACTAATACAGTGATCAGTGCTAAAAATATACACTGTCACTGTACTAATGACACTGGCTGGGAAGTGCAATGCAGAACACCTGCAAACTGTCCGTGTAAGCTGTCTGCTCATACCTCTTTACACAATGACAGGAAGAAACAATAAACTACCACAGCGCTAAACAGCGCCCTGATAGCTCATTGAGAACTACAAGTCGGCAGCCGCAAAAGCTGACAGTACTTGTAGTTCTCCCATTCACAGAACTCTGTGAATGAATGATGCAGCTGGGTGGGCAGAGCCTTGGGGGTTTTTTTTTTGGTTTTTTTTCATTGCGACAGCGTTTTCGGGAGAACATCCCCGTCTTGCTGTCACTACAGGTGCTGGTTGGGGAGCAGCTGCAGCAGTGGGAACATATTACATGTTCCACCCTAAAAACAGGTTGAGTGTGTATTGAAAGATTTAACCCTTTTGCTGCTATGCTGTATGGACATGACAGGGGGAGGGTTTACACACAATCCAGTGGCTGCAGCCACCAGGGTTGTGTCTAAAACTGACAGGCAGAACCCTTGCCTTTGATGTCCCTAAAATTCACTTTAGTGTGTTTTTACTGAAATTGTGGTTTCCTAAACTTTTGCGATATTGTGTGACATGAAAAACTGGAGCTACTAGTATTTTGTTTTCTAGGGTGTCTGCTTTCAGAAAATATATAATGTTTGGGGGTTTTGTGTAATCTTAAGACCTAAAATGATTTTTCAAAAATATGTATTCAAAAAAATGCAAAAATGACTCTGGCAGTGAAAGTGTTAAGGAAGGCTGCCAATATAGACATATGGTAGTTGCCACTGCTGAATGTGAAAACTCTGGGACCATCATCCTCATCCTTTCTTCACTATTGCATGAGTTACTGACTTGGAACGTGCTTTCTCCCGCTGAAATGTCAGTTTCTTTAATAAAATTTTGCTTATTACAAGCCAGTGACTCACCATGTAGTTAAGGATCAGGATGACAGTCCCAGAGCCTATGGAGTTCATTTACTAAAAGCAAACAGGCTGTTCACTTTGCAAGGGAAAATGCCCCAGAGCTCAGTGAATATTAAGCTTTGTTGACTTCCATCATCCAATCCATGTGCAAGCAAAAAGGCTGTTTTTTAAATTTTTCTTGCATGTGATTGGATATTCTTTACAAAGTGAAACTTTGCCACATTCACTAAGCTCTGAGGCAACTTTCCTTGCAATGCGAGATGCCTATTTGCATTTAATAAATCAACTATTATCTTGAAAAACAATTTTGCATTACCAGATCCCACATGTGACATAGCAGCTAAGATTACTGAATGATCTTTCTCTATTGATGTAGTTCATACACAGGAAGTATAGCTAGCCATAGACAGTATATTGTTTTTTTAATTCAGTCACAGGGCTGAAAAAAAAAAAAAAAAAAGATTCCTTCATCCACACAAGTGAGTTGGAAGGAGGAATTCCCCTTGCAAGGACATTGTATTCTGAACACAGGACTCCACGCTCTGCTGCAGCTGCTGATTGACAAACGTTTTCCAGCTTGTCCATTTGACTGAAGTTGATTTATCAGTCTCTTTTGAACAGGGACAGACACACACAAAAAGAAACTCTCCTGGTCCCTGCTGTTCCAGACAAATTTTTATATGTTTATGGCCAGTTTATGTCTGCACTAAAAAACAATTCTAATAAATATTACATATTTGTACATATAATTCTTATTTTAAAGGCCGAATCCTAAAATCTTTAGTGCTGATTTAAGATTTAGAAATGTGTGGCATAAAAACAATATAAAACAGATCAAGTTATGTGTAGTTCCACAAATAAACAAAGGACTGTCAGGTACATAAAACTGTAATTTTTTACAAGGGACTCTTCCAGGAATTGTTTGAACAGAACAGACTTTGTATTACTTTAAAAAATGCCTCTTTGTTTTGAAATCCCTATTTGCATTGAACACAAAAAGATATCTAGTAATAGGGAAGCACAATGTATTGGTGGTTAACTGTGTAGTAGTTTAATATCAAAGTCCAGCTCCCAGAAGGGCTCACAGTTTGCATGGTCTGCTTACATACTGTAGGTTTCATCCACCATGTGGACAGCTTACTTGGCTTGTCTTTGATAAGGACAGAAGATTTTATAGGGTAAGTTCACCTTGGAATGTTTTTAGGGTGGAAAATGTAACATGGGGTTTCCTCTCCCTGCACCAGCTGTTACTTTCAAAAGTAGTATGGCTGTGTGGGGATCTGTCCACGCAACTGCATCACTCATTCAGTTTCTTAAGAATGAATAAACTGCAAGTACCATCATCCACCATGGCAGGCAAACTTGCAGTTTGAATGAACTGCAGGTGGTCTGATCAGCATGCCCACAGTCCATTCACACTGCCTACAGCTCTGTAATGACAGCCCTTACAGAGGTTTGGATAACAGAGCTGTAGAGAGTATGTGCGGTAGCCTGACATTGCACCCACGATCGCTGATTGTGGGTCCAATGCTTTCCGGACTCTTGTTTTAAAAAATAATAAAGGCACATTCTTTTACCTGCAATTTATTATTTTTTATGTAAAGGTGAACAAGGCCTTTAAGCCGCTGCATGGACAGGGACTAATGTGAATGGGGCAGAGTTTTTGAAGAAGAAATTGAATAAATGATAAAGTTAAATAAAAGCATTAAACATAACATACATAAAAAATACAGTTTGTCCAAATTGCTGAGAAAATAATCATGTCAAAATGTTGTTTCAATTTTCCTACCTTATACCCCTTATGGAAGAAGCAGTGAAGTTCCACTCATGAATCCCTTTCTGAAAGAAGAAACTGGGTTTGTAAGACAAATATTTTCTGCTTGTAAAAACCCATTCTGTCATGTAACTCTCACCTGTTCAGCACTAAAGTGTATCAGGAAACAGTGCTGTCACTTTGACGCCAATATGACTATTCACTAGAACTTTGCAGAGAAGGCTTCAGTGATAAACAATAATGGCTTTCAAATAAGGCAGCGCTGCCTTCAAATACTATGGCATTCCAAATTTACAAGCAGTTTATTTACATTCCCATATTGATCATAGAAGCTTTCATTTTTTTTTACAAAAAAGAACTTGGTTGAGTTTCTATTCATGCTTCATATTAGCAATAATACAATAAATATAGTATACAAATAGTATATTTTCTGTTGGGTTGAATGTTATTCACTGTGATTCCAGCCGGACAGAGTCAGTCCTCCCCTGTCTTCATCTTAAAGCAGTAGAAACGCAAAACAAAAATAAAAAATTGGGCAAGTGCAGCTAATGTCATAATGTTCAAGTATGCACCGCATACTAACACATTATGACAGACTTACCTGAAAACGAAGCCTTCCATCATCATCCGGTCTTCCTTTTGGGTTCACGGGCTTCGGATGAGCTGTTGTGACATCACTCCCACATGGGTGTCATGGCACAGCGCTCTGAATGAATGGCACCACTCATTCAGAGCGCAAGTGCACATGCGGTGGTGACATCACTGGCTGCTACTAAAGTAAATATCTCCTAAACAGTCACATTTAGGAGATATTTACTGTACCTAAAGGTAAGCCTCATTATAGGCTTACCTGTATGTTTAAATAAGCTTGATGGACTTTACTACCACTTTAAAGTGGAACTCCAACTTTACCTTCAGTTTTGCACAGTTATACAGGCTTCCCTTATATTTTTTTTTTCTTTGAATCCGCAGAGGGGTGCAAAAACAAAAACAAAAAAAGTGTACAAAAAAGGTGCAAATGTAAAAACACCAACACAAAAAAGTGCACTTAAGGGTGTGCTTTTAGTCCACTCCCAGAAGGGGTAAGACCTCTACCCTGATACCCTGGGGGCGCAAGGCTCCTGACAGGGACAAAGGGTTTCCGACTTGGTCCACCTAGCCAAAGGGCCTGGCGGACCCCTTTGCTTGTGATCAGCCCGAAGCCGACTACCAAGTACTTGGTGGAGGGGCTCTCCCAAAGAGAGACCCCCCAGGAATCGGGGGAGGAAGGAACCCAAGGGCCACACATCCTCCCCCTAAACGTCAGGGAAGGCCCAAGGACCCACACCCTCCATCCAGTGAGGAAAAAAACATACACATAAGTGAAAGTAAAGCAAACGTGAGGAGAAAAATAAATAAAATAAATAAGTGGCCGTGCAATTGTGCACTGACTAGGCCCTGAGGCCTGTAGCAAAAAAACTGCCCTGGACTTAGCCAAAAGTCCTAGCCCTAAAAGGCGCAGTGCAGAAATAGTGTTTGAAACAGTGACTATGTGAGCTTTTCACACGTGGGATCCTACCCCCATGTGTTTCTAAGAGCACCCCTGGGGCAACCACTCCCAGGGGGAACTGCTCCACAGACTCTCTGCCTCTCCAGCCCCTGGCCAGACAAGGTAGACCTATTCAGATCAGGAGGATTTGGGCCCCTTCTGTTTTCCCAGGGGAATTATTCCCAGGCTCCAACAGCCTGTGGCCGAATCGGATTCTTTTTCAGCTGGTACTAGCCTTCAGAGCCCCCATCATATCAGCAGAGGTACTATACAGCCAGCCATCCTCACAAAAAAGGGAAGAATGACAGTGGAGCATCCCTACTGGACACTGATAAGAACAGACTACCCTTGATCTTAGCCAAAAGGCAGAGAAACTATACTGAAATTGCTTCTCACAGTGTACAATAGAAACTTTAGCCTGGGTTCACACTTTTGTGGTGCGGCATATTGCATGTGATTCGCACAGGAACCGCACTGCACTCCTGTGCAAATCACATGCGAATTGTGTGCGGTGCAATTTGAGCCATTTATTATGTATGGCTTAAATTGCACCGTATCCGAACCAAAAAGGTGCAGGACCCTTTTTTTGGGGCCCGCACTAGAATCGGATCGCATGGGTATTCACACCTATGGGATCCGATTCTACACATTGCGCCGTGTTTTGCAGACCGATTTTGGGGTGTTGTTAACATACAACACCCTCAGCAGTTCTCATTAACACGGTGCGATTGTAATGCGGTGCGGAATTTGCACAGAAAATGCTGCGAATTCTGCACCGCATCAGTGTGAACCCAGGCTCAGACAGAAAAATGTTAATATAAACTTTATTGAACAAGAAGCTGCTGCAAGTCAGAGAGTGTGTCTCACTCCCTGGCTGGATGATGCACAGCATCATTTCACCCTTTCCCCGCCAGGCTTACTGATCCTGGCCTGCCCAGTTCATTCATTGGGTATCAGTTCCTTCAGTAATGGAGGATCAGCATCACATGTGGGCACTATTCTGGATGGTCTGCATGGAAATGCAGTCTGCAAAGGAACACTCACTCCTCCAGACTGAAGATCACCTATCAAGACATATTGATATTTGCATAACTCTACAAATGATAATCTGCCTGCACAGTACAGACAGGGTTAATTATGGCAAACACAGTTGCTCAGCCCCCTCATAAGCAGTGAGAACTACCTAGGATTTTTTCCTTGCTGGAAGGTCCAGAATACAGTATCTAAAAAGATTTTTAAAAAGCTGCAAATTTTTAATATTTGTTTTAGTTACACTATCTGAATCGGGACATGTAAAAAATATAAAGTAGGTATTTTCCCAATTCGGCTGCAGAAGTGGAAATAGCAATTCTTAGATATGGTGCCTGCATTATTTTTATTTTTTAGAATTTCTCTCTTTTATTTTAAACTTGGTAATATTACCAGTAAGTCTGTTATTTTCCTACAGAACAAGCTGTCCTGCAGATGTAGCAGTTAGCGAGTTGAGACAAACCATTTATCACTGACAGGGGTGCTTACAATGATCAACTTTTAATAATTGTAAAACCTTTATCCCGATAGGAAAAAAACTGGTGCTGTAACTTTTAAAAGTGTGAGCTGGAGTTTGGCTTCCGTTTGTTAGTGTATCGTAATCTTCTAACCCATCTAACATTCTCCTTCCCCAAGAATAACAAGGTGTCTCTGTTGCTCCTTCATCTAGAGTGTAGGCACCGCAGGGTGAATAAAAATTTTTTAAAAAACATTTTTAAAAATCTGATTTTTCTTTTTTCATTTAAATCTGATTTTTTTTTTTCTATCAAATTTATTTTAATGAAATGCTTTTGGAATAAAAATCTATCTAAAGATAGTTTTCTATTTAAGATACATTAATAACAGAGTTTATTTAGCATGAAATGGTGCTTAGTTATGTAGCACAAGGCTGTATATTCGGCAATATTTACATTTTTGGTAAACTCATTCAATGAATCCAAGCTCTGCAAGCTGAGATAACATGCACTGCATTGATGCATTCACACAATTTCACAGTAACCATGAGAAAAAACATGAACTAACCTGACAGTTTGTTATTCTTGTTATTGGTTTGCACATATTAAAGATTGAGTCAGATTCCTTACATTTAAAGAGCACCTGTCATTTTAGATCCATCGTGGCAGCGACTGTTAGCGCGCATCCACTCACCAGCTGCCGCCACTTCCCTCACCTTGTTGTGTCACTGCCATATCACCAGCCGTCCCATTAAAGTGAGTCAACAGTGGGTCAGCATAGGAGCCGCTGCGGGACAGAGATGACAGTTGCTCTTTAAAAATGATGATTTAAATCGAGCCTTTTTACTAGTGATTTAAATCAAATCCACCATGAGGCACTGTAAGGTAGGAAGTGTGTTACTAGCCAGATCACCGAGTGAAAACTGAGAGAAAAGGCCTAAAAAAGGAGACAAATTTATATAATGTGTATGGAAGAAATGCTAGCACTTGATAATGATACTTTTGAAAAATACAACGTTTTGTGGTTTATTTGGATCCATTTCTCCACTTCTAATGCCCTCAAGGAGATCTTATCACCCAATTATATTTTAGTGAATATGTAGCTCCCACCCTCAAGTAGGACAATTTTGAAGTACCCTTAGCACCTTTTGAACACCCCCCCCCCCCCCTCCCCTCAAAGGTTGTCTCTGTTGGTCCTCTCTGGCAACCAGCCTGAGTACCCACATGTTTGGGTTTTTTTCGGTCCTGGAATTTCACTCATACTCTGTTCCTCTCTCCACCTCTTTTACATCTTTTTCTTCAATTCTCTTTTGGCCACCTCTGGTCATTCTCATCTTCCTTTCCTCTTCTTCTCTCCCTGTTTTTTGTGGTATTATTGTTATGCCACTCAATGCCTTACTACTGTAGGTCTTAAGAAACATGTTTTTTGCCACTCTTATCTACAATATATCTACACTTTCACCTGCCATTTTATTAGGTACACCTGTTCAATTACTTTGTAACACAAATTGCTAATTAGCCAATCACATGGCAGCAACTCATTGCATTTAGGTATCTAGACGTGATGAAGACGACTTGCTGAAGTTCAAACCAAGCATTAGAATGGCAACGAAATGGGATTTAAGTAACTTTGAATGGTTTATGGTGCCAGATGCACTGGTCTGAGTGTTTAAAAAACTGGTGATCTGGGATTTTCACACCCATAACCATCTCTAGGTTTTACAGAGAATGGTCAGAAAAAGAGAAAATATCTGGTGAGCAGCAGTTGTGTGGACAATAATGCCCTGTTGATGAAGAGGTCAGGGGAGAATGGGTAGAATGGTTCAAGATAATAGAAAGGCAACAGTAACTCAAATAACTACTTGTTACAACCAAGGTATGCTGAATACCATCTCTGAATGCACAACATGTTGAGCCTTAAAGCAGATGTGCTACAGTAGCAGAACACCACATTGGGTGCCACTCCTGTCAGCTAAGAACTGGAAATGGAGGCTACAATTAGCACAGGCTCACCAAAATTGAACAATAGAAGATTGGAAAAATGTTGCCTGGT